AAAAAAAAAAAAAAAAAAAACAAATGCCAAATAAACAACCCAACCGTTTTAAACCAAAATTCGTTAATTCATTCAAGGAACGCAGTATCCACCGTCGACAACCAGGTCGGCACCGGTGGTGTAGGTCGAGGCGTCCGAGGCCAGGTAGAGGTAAGCACCCTTGAGCTCCTCGGGCTGACCCTCACGACCCATGGGGATCTTGTCCTTCCAGATGTTCTTGACCGACTGAGGGACGAAGCTGGAGATCTCAGTGGCAATGTATCCGGGGGAAATGGAGTTGGCACGGGCGTATTTGACCCATTCGACGGCGAGAGATTTGCCTGCAGCGGGTTAGCATCAAATAATTATTCAACACAGTGAAAGGAAGATGACGTACAGAGGTGGATGACACCACACTTGGCAGCGTTGTAAGCGGCCTGCATCTGAGGGAAGTTGACAATGTGACCACTCATGGAGGCAGTAGCCACGAAGCTACCGTAGTTGAAGTTGGTGAGGGGCTTTCCGTTAAGGTCGGTACCCTGCTCCTTCTGGCGCTTCCAGTGGGCAGCAGCAGCCTTGGCGCAGTAGAAGGTACCATCCAGGTCAATGCCAACAACCTTGGTATAGTGGGAAAGAGGACCGTCCACCATGGGGCCCTCAGTCCATGGGACACCAGCGTTGGCAATGAAAACATCCAGACGACCATTGAAATCGCGGACAGATTGGTCGACGGTCTTCTGGACGGCTTCGGCGTTGGTGATGTCACACTGGTATGCCTTGGCTGTTGTTGCTAGTTAGTACTGACGCAAATGAAAAGAGGTGCTGGAAATACATACTCTGAACACCGTACTTCTGAGAGACCTCAGCAGCGCGCTCTGGGGCCTTGCTGTTGTTGCTGTACCAGAAGGCAACGTTGGCACCGGCCTCAGCCAGACCATTGGCCACGGCGAGACCAATACCAGCACCAGAACCGGTGACAATGGCGGTCTTGCCCTTCAGGGAGAACATTCCCAGCAAGCTGGGGTGAGGGGGAGCGGTGGTGTTCTCATGGACAAAGTGTCCGACCTCGTTGACGGGGTTGTTCGACATGGTGAATAGATTAGGGATATCAAAGTAATTGTATAGATAGGTCTGTAGAAGAGGTGGTCAAGAGTGTGAAGAGTGACAGAGACGGAGGAGAAAAGAGAAAGAAGAGAAAAAAGCTGCCAGTGACCCTATATATATGTACTATGAAAGATAAAAGAAATGAGTTGGCGAGGGGCACCATACTATTAGTACTGGGGAATTGGTGGGGGAAGACCTGTCCGGCTGGAGTGGATATGTGACGCTATGCAAACTCCTAGAAACCGGCCGCGCTCAAAGAATTGTCGGAAGCATCGCGAAGCTTCAGCTGTGGTCAGTTAGCCTACGGAGTACTACTGTACATACTGTCATTCCGTGCTCTGAACGAAGTATAAGCAGTTCTGATATCATGTCTACTTAATGGCTATCTATCTCCGGGGATGACATCGTAGTCCGGGGGTTGTTTGCTGTGTTTGTATCCCGATCCGGACCAAGGTCGGTCCGATGAAGCTATCCTGGTCGGTGCGCCAGGCGGTCTCTAGAGGCAGAATAGGTCCCTGGAGCTTCATCTCAACGACAACCGAGGGGATCAATCCTCAAGGCATTTCACCCTGGAAATGCTATTGGGAATGGATTTCGAGTGTCTACTGCCTCAATATGTGCATTGCCAGTCTCTAACATGGTGAACTGCAATCGATAGCATACATTGAATCGACGTTCTACCCAGATTGCTCTCTGAACTTGGTTAACTAACCCCAGCTTTGTTCAGTACCCCTGTGATAAGAGTTTGCTTTTTCACTGAATCGTGATGATTCAGAATGGTAGAGAAACTAATGACGAGAACCCGGAACTCAGCAAATTCTCTATAATCCATACTCCATACCCTACTAACATCGAGTGCGATATCAGACATGTCCGTCTGTAACAACATCAAAGATCGTCTCATTCCAGTTGATAGTCTGCTCATTAATGCACCCGGAAACATAGGGAAATAATTCGTGACTGGCCAATGACGATGGTTGCCAGTACGCAGTGTGCTCTATGTCCAGCATTCCTTGCGCGTCCCCGTTATGTTGGCCACATTCCATGACTACGATCTGGTATCCATAACAAACGAAACAGTCCCCGTAGGCAAAGTGTCGCTATGTCCCTTCTTGCTGTCATCTACTCTGTTTGACACCAATCCGTGCTGTCCATATCGTGTGCCACACTACCATCCCCATCGCCCATCCCCCGAACGAGACCAGCCGATGTGAGATTAACTCCAGTGCCTCCAGTTCACCCGGTGTCTGGTGCGTCCTTTTGATTTGCAAACTCGCCATGATACCGTTAACAACTGTTGTCGCCGTGGCCGTGAGCTTGTCGGTGTTGTTTATTGTGTGCTCGGTAGTTGGCACAATCGTTTGGATAAGGATTCGACAAGAAAGGCTTTCTATGGCAGTCGCAAATACGCGCAATGGTCAATATGCACGAGGATTACAAAACTTTCCTGCCGAAACCGTGACTGAGCTGTCTCCCGAAGAAGGGACTGTCCTGGGACAGTATGGGCAGTTGCCATACGGAAGCCCAGCAGAATGGGCTCTGATAGATTCAAGGGAGAGACTGGTCAAGCCAATCGATCCAGAGACGTGTTCCATACTCAGCGAGAAGCCGCGATCGTTGCGCCAGTCCCCCTCGAGATCCAGGTCCAAGCGTTGGTCCAAAGGAGGCTTTCGACGACCACCGCGAGGGAGTTCTCTGGCACCTGTAGGGGAAAAATTCGAAAAACGGTCACTTGAAAAGTCTTCATTTGAAACTCGACCTTCTGTTTCGAAGGACGAAGTGGAGGTTTCAGCAGTCGAAGGGATCATGGAGCTGCCAGCAGAGACATCTCCTAGACAGTCGCCAGACAGAGAAGAGCCGCCTCCTGATCCCAACCTCCACTCACCGGGAATATGGTCAGTGTACATGAACAGGGATTACTCGAGCAGTTTGTTCCCGGTCCGTGAGGATGAACACGAGGGATTCGACCCGTATCGCCTCCGGGTACGAGGGACAAGCCTTACCACACAAACAGCAGGGACCATGCCAGATCAACCGGTGCCACCTCCGCCTCCATGTGCCTATCCGTCTAATCGTTTCCGTCTGTCGAGAAACGATTCGTCCATGAGGTTGTCATCTCTGAGTCTTGATACAGCAGACAGCTCTATCCTGGAAGATGGTAGGAGAACACCGATGTTGATTGACAGCAACTTCAACTCGCCAGCTTTGCCGCCATGTCCGACGTTTGTGCCGTACAGCGCCAACGATGTTGGCCGTCTGGACAGGAGCTTCTCGACGAAGAGTTCGCTACAGGGGTCGTTTGCATTCCCTTCAGGATCGGTAGAGTTGGAGGCTTACAGAATGGAACGGGAGCGAACGTCTCCTCGTCGAAGCTTGACTGCTCGAAGTCCGAGTCATAGTATGGAACGAATTTGCCCGCCACCACGCAGGAGTGAATCTCTGTCTTCCACTGCACCAAGACGGGACCCACGATTTGCATCGCTGGGAAACATGCCTATTTTGTATCCAAGTCCCAACAATATTCCTGCTCATTGGAACGGCATCAACTACAACTCTGCACTCCTGCCCCATTTCAGCCAGATACGACGGTCTTCGGTGCGCCAACACCCTCCAAGGGAGTCCACTGATTCCCTTTTTAGCAGTACGGACAACCTGCTTAGTGTTTCGGAGAGTCCAAGCAGGAGATCCAGCAATGTCGTTGTGCATGAGACACCGTTGTCCGCGGACAGTCTTCCGCGACTCCCTCCTCCGTCTGCACTGAAGGGTGGGAATGGCCCACGCAAAGGCCATCGACGGCAGAATTGTGTCCGGATTTCGATCCACCCTCCGATCACCTATGGAGGTTCGGTTTTCTCCCCCATGGCTGAAGAACCGGAGGAACACGACGGAGCAGCGAGTCGCAGATCCGAGGTCTCCGAGTTGTCAGCCACCAACATGTCCTCTTTGCCCAGTATCTCGACAATTTCCATAGACAGACAAAACCACCATGAACGAAGCCGCCCTTCTTCATATCGTTGTGCCTCTTACCGGACTTCACCTCCTAAATGGAAACATGCACGGACAGGCTCCAAGGACACTGGCAACACCAAGAATTTACCTGGTATTGACACCTCACTTGCTGCTCGAGAAGCCAGTTTGTGTCGTACACCATCTCCCGACAAGAGTCCTCCCGCATGGTCAGCTTCCCACCAAGCCCCATCGCCATCGACGCGTGAGAACCCACCGACCCCTGGCGAACCACGCGTGTCTGCAGTAAAGGGCCCGCGCAGTCAACCCAGAAAACCGGTCAAAAACACCCAGCGTTCCTCAATGCCCTTGGCAGAGAACTCGACATCCCCATCGCCGTCGACGTCCTCGAATTCCAGACAAAACAGCTTGAACCAAAACTCCCAGAAGTCAAGCTCCACCCTCAACCGAGGCAACAGCAATTCTACAAACAACACATCGACAATTAACGATCAAGACGCAGCAGGGGGATTAGAGGTGGTAAGCGGCCCACAACCGACAAGACCACTCTCTCCATCTTGCGGGGTGAACAAAACGCCCAGCAACCGAAGCGGCAATATCGTGACGATCTGGGAGGACACCAAGATCGACACTCATCTCGAACGAACACCAACCAAGCAGTCCTCTGTTTCAGCTCCAGGTGAAGTCATCGAACTACAGGGAGACGTTTCGTTCAACCAAATCGAGCGGCACAAGAGCACCGGCGGGATCAAGGAACCAGAGGGCAAGGATACCCATAATGATAAGCCGCCTCGCGCAGCCAGCCAAAGATCGACTCAACCGGAACTCATGACGCCGGTGAACAAGATAGTTGGACTGGGAATTGGGGCGACAGCGGCGACTCCGGGGAGTTTGTACGATGGTGATGGGTTTCTGAAGGAGTAGGACTGGATTTTCTGTTCTTGTGTTGGGGTTCAAGGTTATTCATTGTAAAAGTGTGACTGGTTTCACTATTTCTGTATCTTAATTCTATTTCTGATGCTATCGCAGGCGCTTTCGTGTCTCGAGATCCTTGATTACTAGCTAGGCGTAATTAGAAGAATGGATGTATCATGGTAACTTTTCTAGAAGTACAACCCCCTTTACCTCAAAAACAACGTTTAGTCCGTTCTCTGCCACTTAGCCTCATCTTTTTCTTGCTCTTGCCCAACAGATCCATTCTCCTCATCCCTAGTCCTCACCGTCCCAGCACCAGGCCCCAAAGGCAACATCGGCTCCTGCCCACCCGCAATCCAATTCCCCTCCTCATCAAAATACTCATGCATATTATCCGCCGTAATCCACCCCGAACTCCCAGGCATAGCAGGCGGGAGTCCAATCTGCTGCACTGCCTCATCGCCTTCTCCATCCCATCCTTCACCCTCATCCTCCTCATCGCCAGGAAGAACCGGATCAGGATGTAAATTCGAACAAGCAGACACAGCCGCATACAGCATCTGCGTCGCAGACTGATCAGCTGCTCCAGGTCCAGTCGTCTGATCCTCCGTCGCGCGTTGAGTGGCCGTTAGCGTTGCCGTTTCACTTGTCGATATCTCGCTTAGGTTCTCTGGTGCTGTGGGTGGTACGATGGTGAGGGTGATACATTCCTCTTCGTCGTCTGCGGTTGGACCAGTTGGTGTGGGGGTTGCGATTTGCATGTACAGGCCTTGGACTTCTTCGGAGGGAGAGGTGGGGAGTTTTAGGCGTTGGATGGCGTGGAGTGAGATGGAGGGGTAGGGGATTGAGATGCCGGTTGTGGTGGAGGGGGTGTAGAGGAGGAATTTACTGTAATCGCATACCGCATTAGTTATTGCTAGACAGCAGGTTGAGAAAAGGGAGGAGAGGACATACTCAGAAGTAACCCAGACATCGACACCGTCGATCACGACTTCTTTTCCTTCTTCACCTTCAGCGTCACCATTTCCGTTAGCGGTGCTCGAGGACGCGCCGCGAATAGCATTCAATGCTGGAACGGAGAGCAGATCGCGCTCGAAAATGACGAGTTTGCAGGCCTTGCTGTGGTAGTGGAGGACTGGGGGGCCGGTGTGGAAGGACGCGGGGGTGCGCGATTGGTGGTCGGCGAGGAGGACGAAGGAGGAGGCTTCGGGGGGTGTGTTGAGGGGCTCCATTGCTCTTTTTATGGAGGAGAGATGGTTGTGAGCAAAATTAAGGAGGGTGTTTGGGGTGTTGTTGAGGTGAGGAGGAAAAAGTTGGTTCGCGGGAGAGCTATTGTAGATGTTTTCCCGACTTCACGCCGCTTTTGGCTCCCTGAGCAGCCCAGAGCGATCAGAATATCCTTCGCCACGGCAGTACAGAAGAATCAACAGCATAAAAATAAGATTAAAGATACCAAGCAAAAAGAACTTCATGCTATCCCGGTTCAGAGCCTCATATAACTAGATTATCCCGGCTGACTAGACAATCCGGCATTGTCTATATGTCGGATCAAGCTGTCTACAGATAGCAGTGTCACCGATGCACCTTGCTCAATCCACAGCCGTTTTCCCACTTTGATCCTTGATCAGTGGATCAGCTCCAAACTTCTTGACCAAGATGCATACCATTTCCTTATTCCTTATTTGAACTGCAAGATGCAACACTGGTCCAGGAGTAAGCTCTTCAGACCCCTCAACTGGCTGGATCAATTGATATCAACAACCTTTTTGCTCATCAAGAAGGAAAGCATGTCCACACTGCCACTCTGCATAGCCTCATAAATTGTACTTGTGTTATTGATCTGGGCACCATGCTTCAAGAGTAATTCTATCATTTCATACCTCCCGGGATACACAGCATATTCAATTGTAAGTTGATAAAACAGCTGGCTCTCAGTTGGGTCACGGTCATAGACCACTATTTTGGTTTTTGGTTGCCATATCCTATAGCGTGATCATATAGTAATGTTGAGAGAAGGTCTCTAAAGACAAAAAAGACGTGTTGGTAGATGGATAGCTAAAGTACGGCGTACAGCGGCAATGAAAAGAAATTAGGGATGGAGGAGAAGTGAATTCATGTATCCTGGTGAAAAAAATGTCACACCTCCCGATCTATAGAGCATTAAAAGCATCAAATTCACTCTTATCTGGATGTACCGTCTAAACGCATGAAAGTGCCGGTCACGGGCATATCGAGTATTGCGTATACAGTTACACAGCATGTTTATCGTCACTATTTTGCTGGTTATGCCCTTGTATCACCCTGTCCAGCCTCATGTCCGTACTTGGGTGTGAAGATGGTTGATCACTCGGGGTAGATCCCTAAGGCTCTAGATAGACAATCATTTTCCCGTTACCAGAAACGAGTCACTGAGCAAAATTGCGGCGATGCCACACAGGCTTATGAAGTATTGTAGAATGCCAAAGTAGGGCGGCTGGGGTCCGCTCATTTCACGCCCATTCTGCCAAACGCTTGGTCTAGCTCCTCGCCCTCATCGCGTGGCTTCATCGACGGAAGAGTGGCAGCACTCTGATCAGCAGGCGTACTGTCCAGCAGACTCTGTTCAGCTCCACCCGCAGACGACGAAGCGAAACTGGCTCTACTCGGTTGAAGTATCTTCTCTTCCCGGTCCAACCACCCCGGAGCCACCCGTCTTTTCTCAGCCAGATCCCGTTGGCGAATAGACTCTTCCCATTGCTTGATGGTGTCGTCTGCGTCACTCCGAGTCTTCCTTAGATGTTGCTCGAGTGACTGACACGCAGCTAGAATTTCGTCTGGATGTGCGGCATGCTCACCACTCGCTGATACGATGTAACGGGGTTTGGCATCGGGATTCCCGGGATCACCCGTGACGGAGGGTGGTAGCGTGGAGGGGACAGATTTGTATGTGTAGGGAAGTGTTATCGCGGAGGGCAGATTGATAAACGGGGAGACGGTCAAAGGGACCTGGGCTAGAAAGGGATGCGGTCCTGAATGCGTGTCAGTATAAGTCCTCTCATGTTACAGCAATGAATACTCACTATAGGATTCGTACATGTTGAGCGAGATGGTGGAATAATAATGAAGGTGAAGAGGCGATAGTAATCTCCCCGCAAAAGGAACCAATGCGCGTGGATCCCGAAGTTGAATAAGCAGTGTGTTCCCAATTAGGCTGAGGCTCCTTTTCAACCAGCCAGAGAATAGAGATCTTTCTCGCTGACTCGCCTCTTGCTTGCCTCTTTTTACGATATTTGTCTCTCTTCTCCCATATTGATTATTTTACCTGTTCAGGAGAGAAGTGTTCTCTATTCCTCTTGGCTCCCCACATCGACTGAATCGATCCCTTTTTGGACGCCTTGGCCACTCCCGTTGCTGGTCGTTTTTGCTCCTGAAAAAGAGTTAACTCGGGTCTTTTCAATCTGATAACTTCTCTTCTCTTTTTGCCTTCTATCTTATAAGTCCAGTTATCTCTGGAATACTACTTTATCCTTATCTCTACACTCTACGATCTATTTGCTTGGACTCGACATCGATCGCTCTCGTGTGTGATTCCGCCGCGCTTAACCCCACCAATCTCTTCCCTCCGCGCTGCCAACTTCTGTTGGTCCTGTTCTCCTTTTCCTCTTATCCTATTCTCTCCTCCGTTTTTTCCCTTCCTCAGACGCGACTCGAACGTCCTCATTGAAAATGGACCGGAATTTGGCGCGAGCGGTGACGGACAAGAGACCGGTCCCGGAGATCGATTTCACGCTACATACTATGGAAGATGGCAGTCAGGTGTCCACCCAGGAAAGAGTAGTCAAAGGTATGGAAACAAGGGTCCAATGATAGAGATTGAATCCGTTCGGTCGCTAACAGTCTTGCGAATCCCCAGAGGTGCAAGCGCCCGCCTCAAACACCCCCTCGGACGAGTCCTTCTGGTCTCCTGAAGACCCCTCGAAGCCGAACCTGCAGTTCCTTAGACAGCACTTCTATCGGGAAGGTCGTCTTTCAGAAGAACAGGCACTATGGATCATAAAGAAAGGTACAGAGGTTCTGAGGTCGGAGCCCAACCTGCTAGAAATGGACGCACCCATCACGGTGTGTGGTGACGTTCATGGTCAATACTACGATTTGATGAAATTGTTTGAAGTCGGTGGCGATCCGTCGGAAACGCGATACTTGTTCTTGGGTGATTATGTCGACAGAGGTTATTTCAGCATTGAGGTATGCTCTCCCCTTCTTTTTAACTTGCGGGCCTGAATCTGACGCTTCTTCAGTGCGTTCTGTACCTCTGGACTCTGAAGATCTGGTACCCCAACACACTCTGGCTTCTGCGAGGCAACCACGAATGCAGACATCTTACGGATTATTTCACATTCAAACTCGAATGTAAGCACAAGTACAGCGAGGAAATCTACGAGGCTTGCATCGAATCCTTCTGCTCGTTGCCGCTGGCGGCGGTTATGAACAAGCAGTTCTTGTGTATTCATGGAGGCCTTAGTCCCGAATTGCATACACTGGAAGATATCAAGGCGGTATGTTCAACCGTTCCTACAGGGATTTAGCATTACAAATTCTAATGTTGTGGCAGATTGATCGCTTTAGGGAACCTCCGACCCACGGCCTGATGTGCGATATTCTTTGGGCTGACCCTCTGGAAGAATTCGGCCAAGAAAAGACTGGTGAATATTTCGTCCACAACAGCGTTCGAGGCTGCTCGTACTTCTTCTCCTACCCTGCTGCATGCGCTTTCCTCGAGAAGAATAACCTACTGTCGATCATCCGGGCACATGAGGCACAAGATGCCGGATACCGCATGTACCGCAAGACGCGCACGACCGGATTCCCTAGTGTGATGACCATCTTTAGCGCACCGAACTACTTGGACGTATACAACAACAAGGCTGCCGTGCTGAAATACGAGAACAATGTTATGAACATTCGTCAATTCAACTGCACACCCCACCCGTACTGGTTGCCCAACTTCATGGACGTCTTTACCTGGTCGCTTCCCTTCGTCGGTGAGAAGATCACGGATATGCTTATCGCTATCCTCAACACTTGCTCTAAGGAAGAACTCGAAGACGAAACACCAACATCGGCCTCTGGTCCCGGGTCGCCGCCGCTACCAATGGACGTCGACAGCAGCGAGTTCAAGCGCCGGGCTATCAAAAACAAGATTCTTGCCATTGGTCGACTGTCTCGTTTCTTCCAGGTCTTGCGTGAAGAGTCGGAGAAGGTCACTGAACTCAAGACCGCTGCTGGAGGTCGTCTTCCCGCGGGTACTCTGATGCTGGGAGCAGAGGGAATCAAGCAGGCTATTAACAACTTTGACGATGCTCGGAAGGTTGACCTGCAGAATGAGCGTCTGCCCCCAACTAAGGAAGAGGTTTACCGGAGAAGCGATGAGCAGAGAATGTCAGCTTTCCAGCGTGCTCAACAAGAGGCTGACAATGATGCCGGGCTGGCAACCGTGGCTCGACGTATCAGCATGTAAGTGCTCTCCCTTTTGAACAAGCGAAGAGAAAATCGAAAAAGTTCTAACAATCCATAGGTCTGCTGGATCAAATAAGAGTCGTCGGCAACGGGACGAGACCCAGGAAGCTTGATCGGATGATGAATCTGTCGACGGTCTTTGAGTCCAGCCTACGTCCCAACTTAGTTGCGGCTCCGATAATTCATAGAGGAATATGACGTCCGTGATATTGTGGTTGTCATGGTCATTTTGATTTAATTTTTTACTTTCCCTTTTTGATTCTGCTAGGATTGGGACGGCCGATTAATGTACCAAAATTTTTTGAAAACGGCATACCGGGAGAACCATTTTGTGTATATCCCTAGACAGTGGCCACGAGGCGTCTGCGACGTCTTGGGCTACATGAGTTGATGAATCTATACAGTGATATCTATCCATTTCATTTTAGCTGGCAGTGTGTATAAGAAGCATTGGGCATTGGGTATGATTGTTTCTGCCTTGCGTTGTGTACATGTGGATTTGAGTCTTTCCTCGTTTAGATATGAAATATCATTTCTATAGGTGTCCGTGTATAGGTTCGTCTACATATTCGCACCTTATTCAGTGTAATATTGCGTAGGTAGGAATGCTAGTGAGTTCCCCGCCAAGAACCGCCTTCAACCTTTTCCGGCCGACTCCCTCGTTTCTCCCCTCCAACAACCAGATCGAACTGCACACCACAGTCAATGCCACCAAATCTGCGTGGCTCATTGCCGAAATCCCTATCGCGTCCCCTGGACAGCGGGGTCTTTTACTGCCCCTCCTGCTCAACCTGGCGACGGACCATCTCAACGCGTCGGAAAACCTACCGCCCCAGCACCGGAACCAGCACGAGCGGCATTATCCCGCGAGGTCGAAACGGGGAATTGAATACTCAACGACACCAGTTTACCACATCGTCTGCGATTAACGCGGGAAAAAATGTACCGCCGCGGTTTAAGGAATTGTATGCGGCGTTGAACCGGGTTGGGGATGTTGCGACGGATCGGGTGAACTTGAGTCGATTGCAATTGGCTCTGAGGGGGTTGGAGTCGGAGGAGCCGCTTGTACGGGTTGCTGGTGGGTTTATCTTTTACATTGGTGTTGTGTTTGAAGGGAGGTAGTGATACTAATTGTTAATTTGCAGTGCTCGGATTGAACGATACGAATGCTGCACGCAGACTTGTTCGATTGTTGCTTTCCGATCCGTTGTCGTCTAGGGAGGATTGGGAGGACATGCTGGAGGGATATGAGGCTGATATTTCGCGAGGGTTGTTGATACGGTATGGCTACGTTATGTCAACTTGGAGGTCTAAATGCTAACGAAGCACAAGACACGGCGAAGAATGCCAGTCAATCCCGAACAACCTCCTTCCCACGATTTCCATTCCCTCGCAGCTATTGAAGAAA